TGTTCTGTAGTTGGAGGATTTGTTCGAGTTTTAAAAGAAAGTTGCACTGTACATGTAGCAAATTTGCAGAGTAACACACAGTTACGTTAATTCGTTTCTGAGGGAAAAAAACTGGGTGCTGGGGGCTTAATATTATTATATGAGTGCTTTGAGATATGAATTTAATTTTTGGTAATTCATGAGGACATGAACTACATTACGATGCTTGAAGTTAGCGCTTCGTGAAAAATATGCAGGTATGAAGCGTTGTACATTTACATCTAGTTCATGTACTAGTACCTCATAAATATTCAAAAATCAAATTCATTTCTTTTATTTACATTATTAATCTGGTGATTTGACACAAAATATGCCATCCAACTGTCATTTAAAAAAAAAAAGACTGCATTGCGTGGTAGAATTAACCAGGAGAGCGAACTCTCTATAATCTACAAAGCTTTATCAACTATTTTCTTATTTGTACAGTACCAACTGAGTGAGACCCAACCTGACAGAAAGCAGTCCCAGAGGAGTCGCAGAGACTGTTTTCTGGTACTGCATAACGAGGTTCGCTCCTTGGCTTTTTAGCAGATTTTTGTCTTAACCTATAATTAAAAAAAATCTGCATAATATTTTAGTTCTTACAATAAATTTGGATTCTACAATGCCAATTAAACTATATTCAGTTAAAACTCCATGATTAAATCCCATACCAAAAGCATTCAGTGAGGAACTATATTTTGTGGCGGAAGGTTTTTTTTAAAAAGAAAATGATCATTTCTTTTCTCTTTCGAAGTATTTAAAGTATGTTAAGCTTGGATTCCTATTTTTCCATGCAGCCTGCACACAGAGTTATTCTGTGCCGTGAACTGTTTTATGCTACCTGTCCTAAATTATATATTAAATAAACTATCATGACTTTTATCATCAATATTTTAATAAATATAGCAAAAATATTGTGAAAATCCAAAAAAAAAAAAAAAAAAAAAAAAAAAAAAAAAAAAGCCCTCATTTAAGCTTAAAATTAGCACTATTTCAGTAATATCTAAATATTAACATCACAGACCCCCACATTTAATTTTCTTTTCTGAATATATAAGATATACTTTTGACAATTCTTCTTAAAATCAGTAAAATGTCATTACTTTCAAATGATTTCATTGCTTGTGAAATTTCTAATGGCAGAAAAATGACATTTTTTGAGTACAGAAAGGTCAAATTATTGAACATGCAAAGTAATTTGAAAATTTTTGTTGTCACAAATTTTCAGTGTGTCTATTCAAGATGAAATAAGACTGTGTTTGTTCCCATAATTTATTTGAAGAAAAATATTGGAGGAAAAAATCTAAAAATTGATTCATGTGTAAGACGTATTTACAGTGCAAAAAGGTCAAACTAAATGTTCTGTAGCGCAAAAAGAACCCCCATTTTTTGTTTTGATTTTTAATTAAGCTATGTGTGTAAATTCTAAAAATGTACTTGATAAAAAATTCTCATTACTTTTGATGGCAGGATCCAACCTCCTTAACTTTAGTTAAATTTGTATACATTCGGGTTTGCAATATAATAATTACTAGGTAGATATAATGACCTTGCTTGTTTTGAAATTGCATCAGGACAAATAGACAAATAATGAAACTCATAACCAATTTCTTTAAAATTACAATGTACATAAGTTACATAATCTTAATTCTCTAGGAATACCGTGCCATCTCCCTGTTTCAATTGGAAGCCTAGCATTACCTTCATTGCTCCACTTTCTCCCAATTTCAAAATCATGTTCTTTATACGAGGGGTGATCAAAAAGTTCGCGAACTATCTCTATATTTAAAAAACCACAATTCAGATCAGAATGAAATTTGGCACACGTATAGTCATACACATGTTCTGTAAATAGCATATGTTATATAATGTTTTGCTCCGTGTTTGTGACGTCACAATGTGAAAATGACGTCAGTATGTAGGTCACTTGTGACAAAAAATGGTTGACTCAGTCGTACTTGAGCAACGAACGACTGTAAAGTTTAACGTATATCTCGGAAAAGCCTTTGCAGTAGAATATGATAATTTGTACAAGGTTTATGAAGACAAAAGACTTACCAGAAGTTCAATCATTAATTGGATTGAATGTTTTAATGAAGGCAGGGAGATGATTTAAAATGATGTTTGTTCTGTTGCCCAGCGAAAGCAATCCGGTAAAAAGATGTGTCCTTAGTTGAGCAATTTGTTTTGAAAGATCGCCAAGTTACAGTAAGAAAAATAGTTGAATGTCTAGGCAATAATATAATTATCAAATCCCTAAAATATCGTTTACTTTAGAATTTAAACATATGAGATATGAAAAAAAGAAGGCGCCCATACTTTTTCCACATTGGATAAACGACGCTCCCGAGACAGATGACTCGGGTTGTGATGGTCACCATGCTAGTTTTGGGAAGGGATATCCTTATCCACCCATCCTATTGCTGAGATTAGGCCATTTCTGACAGATGGTCTGTTCTTATTATAAAAAATTACTTGCATGGTAAGAAATATAAGACTCGGAAAAATCTCTTAGCTTCTATGAACAGACCGCTACGAAGCATGTCACGTGACCGCCTGGATCGGGTGATTCACGCATGGGCAGACCAATGGCAGATGTGCATTAAAATCGGAGAGGACTACTTTAAAAAATAATGAACACTGAAACCTCATATAATTTCTTTTAACGAAGTAATTCAATTAGTTCGCGAACTTTTTGATCACCCCTCGTACATTGAACCATTGCTTAAACAAAAAACATTAATTTTCCAAATGATAGGCACAAGAAAATACGACTATGAACATCAAGCAAAACTTATGAAAATGGTAACACATGCATATCTTGTACATATTTTAGGAAATTCATTTTGGCTATGCAATAATCTACTAGTCTGCTTGCAGGTTAATTCTCCATTAACATCTCCTTTCGTTCTACCATTCAAAATATAAATACATGTATTACAATTTTTACATACATCTATAAGTTTTCTTCCAGAGATAATAATTGGAAATGTAAATTTATACGTTTAACCACTCGAATTCAATTACCCTATCCTTATTAAAACACATTTATATATACTAGTAATTGATATTACAAAAACATTTGATGATTGTATAAAAGATGGCATTGTCCCAATTATTTCCTTCAGAATTGAATTTCTAAGGGTGCCTTCTTACGTTTAATAAGTATTACCTCTCAGATAGAGGATGTTTCTTCTGATATAAGTATGCACTTTTGGTAGTGCTATGCTGCAGTAAGTGCTGCTCATTGATTATTCAAAACTATGTGGATTGTCATAGATCTAACAGCTTAAAGACAAGTGTTATATGCTATCTTACGATGCAATTTAGATTGGAAAAAAGTTTTTAAACTGAGAAGTTTGCAAACAAACTCAAGTTAAATCAGCAAAATAGAATACTTTATCTACTTGAAATTTTAAAGGTGTTAATTCTATAACTCCTTTACAAAGTTTGAAATTTGATTTTTAATGCGAAACATACTTTTCCGTCCAAATTCAAGGGTTTTGGACTTCTCATTTCCATTAAATTGTTTAAGTTCAATCTATTTGTATCTATTATAATGTACTGGTTTCGATACAGCACTTGTAGTATATATCTTGAAAGCATTTGAATGGATAGTGATAGATCATTTTCCAAACGTCACTTTTACGTCAGTATACACTGGCGCATACACGTATATTTATCTTGGTTTATGTTCTCGCTTGCAATGACAACTTCCTTTAAACGGACTATATACAGTGCATAGTCCAAAATATATAGGTCTAGATTAAACAAATTATACTTGAAGAAAAACTAGGTTTAACTTAACCCATGCCACAAAAGTCGACAAATGGCACTGCAATTCTGATATCTGGATTATTCAGAATCACGGTTACATGTAATCCTATATGATTGCAAATACAATGTGGATTACAATCAAACACGTTACAATTTTTTTTTATCGGAATATACCACTACACTTCAGAATAAGATGTGCTACTTTCGAAAACGTTCATACAAATCACAAGCCTTTAGATCGCTTTAATCCGACTGAAAAAAGGGTGGTGGTATTTTCAAATTAAAGCGACCCAAAACTGATTACTTTTGGGGGAAAAAGATTTCACAATACACAGAAATAAGTGACTTTCTGTGTGTAAAAGTGAAAAAAAAAATTCAATGGTATTTTATATCAGTGACAAAAAAAAAAAAAAAATTAAGTATATGGTAGAAGCCATCCCCCCACCTCACAAGTGAGTAAGGTTAGTGAGATATGTGTGTGTTTGTATGGTTTTCTTTCCGGAGTCATATTTACACAGAAACCAAGCTATGATGATGGTATTTTTGTCTGTTTGAGTCTTCAATCGTAAACATCGTATGAAAAAGTCAGCAACCACCGCCAAAAATTCCTGCATATGTGTCATATTTGACAGATTCTTCTGTTGTTGAGGCAATCATTTTAACAACCAAGATATCATTGTTTGTTTTCTTGGCTTTATAATAATTAATGTACTTGAAGGTTATTCAACACATTTTGCATGGGGTTTTTTTTTAAGTACAAAGAAAATCACGCATAGCTTCAGTTATTGCTAAGAATAAAATGAAATATAGGAAAAATATGTCCCCGTCAGATAAATAAAAATCTTCATGAATAACATTTAAGTTAAAGCTTATAAAGTCAAGATCACATCCAACGATTTAAAAGTACACGATTTGTATTAAATAACATGTTATGATTAATGAATCAAAACATTTAAAGGTATCAATTGTACTTGCATTTTCTAATGTATAATCGACTTTCAAAATGTTTATCTATTCTGATTAAAACAAAATCTATACAGAGTCATAAATTCCCTTAACCGATATTTTCAGAATCAATACCAAAACATGCATATAACCCAACGAATTCACGGCCAATATTGGACACACAATATACACATAATGAAGGTGAAATTCGTGTCATATTTTATCTAATTTTCTATTCCTCAAATGCAGTATACAACTAAATGAAGTATTAACATTCGCTTCTATCGATAGGGTTGCTACCATACTGCAAGAAACCCTCACAATGATTCAACTCGCGCGTTGGATCTTGGCGTTCCCTCGCAGTTGATTAGTTAACACTATGCGTGTTTTGGAGGTAAAACTCAACAAAGAGAGAGATCTTTAACGATTTCCTTAATAATATAGATTTAATTACAAAGCCGGGGCCATGGTATAAGTAATGGATGTTAAAGAACTTTAATAATCCATTTTAGATGTGAAAGTCGTGAAAGAAAGCGTCGTTGTCTTTCATATAGGATAAAGAGAGAGAAAAAAATCTTGAATGTGTGGATTAAGTTTATTTGATTTTCCGTGAAGGGGATCCATATTAATGGTAGGTATTTAAAGTGATATTCAATGAGGATGTAAAATTATTGTCCAAAGATATGTAAGGTAGTTGTCTACGTGCTTTGAATTGATTTTAATTCAATGCAACAGTATGCCTCTTTTATTAAGGCCGCCAAATATTTATTTTTCTAAAATCATCCAACTGAGGTATAAGGTGCATGTGTAATATTTGATTATGGTACGGGTTTGACTTATTCCCGTTAACATAATGCTATAATTTCATTACATTGCTTTTTTTAGACCGATGTCAGTACTGTGATGACGTCATGGATATTTGGGACCTGACATTCTTCGCTGCGACCATGTTTTGGTCATGTAACATAGTGTCAGCATCACATCATGATTATACAGAACCTGTAAAAACTGACAAAGGTAGCATTGTGGGTCTAAGACAACGTATAAAGGGATTTACTTTAGATTCCTTCTATGGTATTCCCTTTGCCAAACCTCCTGTAGGAAAATATCGTTTCAAACATCCTCAGCCTCCAGATCCCTGGAAGGAAATAAAAAAGACAGTTGATCTTCCTCCGGCATGTATGCAAGTGTATGACAATACTTTCCCAAATTTTACGGGAGCCGAAATGTGGAACCCTAATACCCCAGTGAAAGAAGACTGCTTATATCTTAATGTGTGGGTTCCTAAAACGACAGAGTCCAAAAATAAGTCTGTGATGGTATGGATTTATGGTGGTTCATTCAGTTTTGGATCTATATCGTTAGACGTTTATAATGGAAAATATTTAGCTGTAGAAAGTGACGTCATCGTTGTATCTATGCAATATCGAATTGGGTCTCTGGGTTTCTTTGTTGGTTCAAGTCCAGAGGCTCCCGGAAACTGTGGATTATTTGACCAACTTTTGGCACTTGACTGGGTACAAAGGAACATTCATAATTTTGGAGGATCGCCTAATGACGTAACGCTATTCGGTGAAAGTTCAGGAGCTGCATCTATTGGTCTACATCTTCTTTCCCCTCTGAGTCGTTCAAAATTCCAAAGAGCAATTTTACAAAGTGCGGGCCCAACAGCTCCTTGGGCAACTATCACTCGCGAAAAAGCCATAGAAAGAGGCAAAACGCTGGCTAAAGCATTAAAATGTGAAAAAGATTCAGAAATGGAAATGTTAGAATGTATGAGAAAGATAAATGAATCACAATTTCCGCAAAATGATTTTATACTGGATGCTAACATTCTCCAATTTCCCTTTGTACCTATTATTGATGGAGTGTTCCTGATCGAAAACCCTGAAATTTCATTTAAAAATGGAAATTTCAAGCGTTGTCCAATTCTTGCAGGGGCAAACACAAATGAGGGATCCTACTTTTTAGCATACAGTTACGGAGGAGTTGTATTCAATAAATCACATAGTAGTCCAATAGACAGAGACCAATATAAAATAGAGATGGAAAAACAGTTTAGGCACTTTCCACAACATCCAACAAAAATCAACAATTTTGTTTTGGACGCAATAAGATTCCAATATACTCCATGGAACGACCCCTTTGACAAATTCCTCCTTCGGGATGGGGTGGAAGCGGCGGTTGGGGACTTTAATTTCGCATGTTCCACTGTCGATCTTGCTGGGGAGTACGCAGCAGCTGGGCTAAATGTGTACTATTACTTATATAACCATCGCTCATCGGTAAACCCCTGGGGTGAGTGGATGGGAGTTATGCATGGGGATGAAATCATGTTCATCTTTGGACAACCCCTGGACAATGATTTTGAATATGAGACAAAGGAAAAAAGGCTGAGCAAGAAAATGATGAAGTATTGGACAAATTTCGCCAAAACTGGGTAAATATGGCTAAATTTTAAGACACTTAAGATAAATGAACAGAGTAAACTATTTTCGATTTATTGGAATGATTCAATTATAAAACACATTCCAAGCGAAAATGGTTTTAGACCACAGCTTTGACGATTGTCCGGCAAAAACATATGTACATGTACTTGCAAAAAGTGTCATTTTAGAATTTAATAATATCCTCTGCTCAATAAAACTCCCGCTACACATACAAATACACATACCAAAAGTCAAAACTAACAGGAGTTTCGCTCCATCGTAAAACAATAGACACAAAACCCTTGTAAAGATAAACTTAATTCTGTCAACATGAAAAACTTTCGACAACCTAAGATAACCTTGCATTGTGAGATTACTGTGCTTTGCAAGTCCTCGAGCTTCTTTGAATTATATGGTTTAGCTGTGATTATCTTTCAGTTATTTAATCGAAGGTTTGATTTCAGACATTTCTTGTCTTTCTTCTCTCTAAAGATTCATAAGAAAGAGACCTAAAAGTGCAAAAATACAGAAAAAAAAAACACGCAACTTTTTTTTAAATTTAACACTAAACAAAATGATGTTAACGATTAAAAGTACGTTGACAGAGAAATAAAAATATCCAGATACGATGTTCCTTTTCACTGCCTGCATTCACCACCTTGACATTTCAAAACACACCCAAACACCTCCGTACCCAGGAGGACTCATTGATTTAAAGATTTTTACAAGTACATATGACCTGGGCATTCTCCGATGTCTTTAAGATTTCATGCATCATGTGACTTGACTAAAAACATTTCTGTATGCATAACAATAAAATATCAATAAGCAATATCCTGGGTCTGAAACCTTAGATTGTAGTGTTAACACGTCCCTTGTCCTGCTTGGAATCTTACTGAGGTTATGAATGTCAGAAGAGGGGATACATTCCAATGTGATCAAAGTATCCTTTTTTGTATTATTGTGTATATAAATGTATAAAGTAGCTAATTTATTCAAAGGGTTGGGGGGAAAAATGAAATTCGCCACTTTCTGTCTCTTTTTGTCCAAAAGAGCAAAACAATAAAGCTTATGAGAATGGCCAAGTGCTTTCAGCTAGAGAAGAAGATAAAAATGTTTTAAAGGATTGCTAAGCACGCACATCGATTATATAAGTCAAAAGCTGATGGGAAGACTTTAACAGGCCTTGGTCCCATTTCTAATGTCACGAGAGTGCGGATCTTTGAACTAGTTATTCCAAACGTGCTTCTAAAACATGCTCCAATGTTTACAAATAACTTCACCCAAATTATGTATTTTTGTTTATGGAATATTGTATTACCTTCTATTCAAACTATCTTATATTATCCAAACATAGAATTGAACATTTAACAAAATATTAAAGAGAGAGAGGGGTCGATATATGAAGAAAAAAAAAATCCTTAAGCTTGTGGGTTAAAGAGTTCAATCACAGAGTACGGAATACTTACCGTATACATATAAAAAAAAAAATGGCTTATTTGCATGAGAAATTAATTTCAGTACAGCATACTTCCATCAATAAATGTATAATTTACGTGCGTATAATCTATATTTTTAAAATAAATTGGTAGAAAAAAAAATTGCAGATGCGAAGGGGACTTGACTTCGCTGGATCCCAGCATATACTGACGCAAAACATTTAGATGACTTAAGAGTCTTTAAACAAATTCAAATAAACAAGCCAAAAATATTTTCTGCTCCCAGTACTACTTAAATCATATCAAAACAACATATGGTGTATGATAAACCCATACCTGCCCATAGAACAGAACCAACAATATCTTCTTTTTAAACTTTTGAATTATGACCGAATTCAAGCAACTGGTGTCATGTTTTCTATTGCAAATGATATTAAAAGATATCGAATATAATGTATTTATTTTTTGTCATCTATTTTAGAAGACAAAAATGGTTTTACTGTCTTATTTTTAATCTTCAAAGATAGTATTAATAGAGATATCTACATGTATTCCAAAGTCAATCTAAGTTTAAACACATTCGTGTTTATTTTTACCCATATAAAATAAAATTTTCGCCTAACAACATCCGAAAATGAAGATTAAAACAAGAGGCCAATGGGCCACATCGCTCACCTGAGCACATTGGCTAGGAAAAGGCAAAATTCAGTTCAGTATTGAAAAGTTAATTATATAAGTGGTCCCAACCTATTGGGGGAAAGGGTGGCATTATTCGAACAAGCTTAACTTTACACTAACTGAGGATTCTTCAATATTTCTTTGACTATTAACGGCTTTTAAACATTTTTTAAAGATTATGTTCCTGTAAGTTTTATCTTCTACCCCCCCCCCCCCCACACACACACATCTTGGGGTTATTGATTGAATTGAACAATCTTGAATCTACACTATCTAGGATGCTCCAGTTTTGTATCAATAAGACTAATCATGGCTTTGATGTCCTCAAAAATAAGGATTTTTAATGATATTTCCTATATATTCCTTTGTAAAACTTTAATTGTCTATTGTGGCCCCACCCTACCCCGGGGGTCATGATTTGAATTAACTTGAATCTACACTACCTGAGAATGCTTCCATATAAATATGACCAATCATGGCTTTGCTGTTCTTGAGAAGATTTTTAAATTTTTCCTGTGTATTCCTTTGTAAAACTTTGACCGCCCGTTGCAGCCCCGTCCAACCCCGGGGGTCATTTGAACAAATTTGAATCTGAGGATGCTTCCACACAAGTTTTATTTTTTCTGGCCCACTGGTTTTTAAGAAGATTTTTAAACAATGCCATTAAAATTCACTAATTTTTAATCATCTCCTCTTGGAATAAGGCATGGCCCTTCATTTGAATAAACTTGAATCCCCTTAAGCCAAGGATACTTTGTGGCAAGTTTGGTTGAAATTAGCTTAGTGGTTCTGGAGAAGAAGATGAAATTATAAAAAGTTGACGCCGACAACGACAACAACGACAGACAACGGACAAATTTTGATCAGAAAAGCTCACTTGAGCCTTTGGCTCAGGTGAGCTAAAAACTGCACTTAGTTTGTTAAACATATGCTCGCAAACATTGATCTGAATTTATGATGACTTACAGCCCATTTTCACTGTCTCAAATTTTGGATCTTTTGTGAAAAAATAGTCGTTTGGACTCAATATTCGCTATCCCTGAATTTATTGTTTAAATGAGGCCTTGAATTGAATTCTCAAAATTTTAACCGTCTGAAGAGATTTTTACGTTAAAATTGTATTTTGTGTTTTCTGAAATATTCAGAAGTTTTCAAACAAGTGGAAACTAAGATACTATTTGTAGCAAAATGCTATTCTTACATATTTTTTCCAGATACATGTAAGTTCCTTTCTAAACTTGTAACTTTGACACGAATCTAAATGACTTTTATCAGAAATCCAAATAAAGAACCAGGCGAGGACAAAGCCCTGGATGACTGGCCAATTCACACATACAAAGGACGAGAATATATAGTACTGGACACCAAATTCCACGAACACAACAAAAAACCAACTATAAAGAACGCATTCAAAGTCAAAGACTGTGCATTTTGGAGGGAATATGTTCCTACGCTGATGCACACGACAGGTATGATTTTTGGATATTTTATCAAATAAATTTTCACTTCCCATTCCTGCAATGAATTTCATGATTTTGAGTTGTATACATGTACTTTTAGTATTTTGATATTTGTGCATTAAGGACATAGGATGCTCAAAAAATCTGTAAAACAGTTTGTGCAAGCTTGATTATTGCTAAATCACATATTTATCACAAAAATTAACTATCAAACCACTTTTTTTCATTCTCCACAAATTTATACTTTCATATCTATATTGAAATCCAAAAAAGAATTTGAATCTCCCAAAATAGATAAAAATTTTACTCTAATTTTACAATGTAACAAATGAATTTCAACACAAAAATTGCAAAAACAAGACGGTATTATCAAATCCCTACTTTCTCCAGATTTTGGGTATCCTGTGACCGTAATTTTTTATTAACATCGCGAATTGACAGAATGGTACAACTGCATGAAAAACAAAATGGTGCTGAGAAGAATTTCATATCTTTGAAATATTCTTTATTACTCGTCTTCTACTTTAGAAAAGTCCATTTTCATGTAGCTTTAAAACTTTGCTGTCATTAATTCCCTTCGTAACAAGTCAGTTTGCAACTAATGATTTGATCCCCGAATGGCGTGTGATTTGGAGTGTTTACTAATACAGCTGAGTGAAGACTTTGCCTCATTTTATCATATCAGGTGAGTTTTCATGTTCAATTAAAGCAAATTTTGAATTTATCTGAGAGACATTTAAACATATTAAAGGAAATGGGCGCATAAGACGTGCAAAATGCTTATAGCTTCTAATGTATAAAATATACAAAAGATATATTCAGTTCGTGAATATACTATTTAAAGTTCTTATAATTGAAAGGTATGAAACGTTTTCTGCGGGATATTCTTTCGGCAAAAATCATTTTAAGATATTGAATATTGATAATAATAGTGAAATCTTCACATACAAAATGAAAAGGGAAAAAAAAACTTTATGCATATCTTATTGTCGAAGTCGCTGTTCCTTTCCTAGATGATCTATAATGGATCTTCTGATAAGTGTACTTAAACTTCTGCTTTTCTTCATTTCAAATTTTAACAGAAGTACAGTCTAAATGTAATTTGAAACAAGATTTTATTTGTATTTCCCAACTACAGTACATGTATAGTACAGAGACCCTTTATTTATACCTTTTAATATTAACAATAAAAATGCAGACATACATGTATTTAGGGGTTGGAGATGGTTGTCAAGAACAAAAACTTTCGGAAAAGGTGGCTTGTCATTTTCTATTTTCAAATTTAACTAATCTACTATTGCCAAGATTGCTATCACTAAAGCAAAATTTATTTATATATACCTGGGATGCATATTTAATGCTCTTATATTTTTGGAAAAGGGTGTTTGTTTGTGTTTCAATTTTCTTTTTTTTTTCTTGTTTTTCAGCAAACATGTCCGACGTTGAACGAGAGTGGAAGTTAGAATTTTACCAATGGAAAACAAATTATATGGTTCAATGGCAGAGACAGTTTGATGAGTTCGTCAGAAACTACGAAGATCGCCTACAGTCGTGTAGTGCCCCTTAGAAAACGGGTTAAACGATTAAAAGCAAAACATATCAAACACTTTGTTTTTGTGTTGTTCCTCATTTTACAAAGTATTTTGTTCCCTGACTTATTAAATTGGTGTCAAGTTAAATTAATTTATTACATGTCTTTGCCTTCGTTCAAATTTAGATTAACAAAAAAAAAAAAAAAAATCGACGGTCTTCAAAAAAATATGCCTATGGGTCTTCATGACTTTAGGGTTTTGTTTCATATCGCACGTAGGGTCAACCCCTCCCAAGCAATAATTATTTTCTTATATTCAAAATCACACAACAGGGCGAGCCATTTCATAAAGTAATCGTTCTAGTAATAGGAAACAAGACAGAAAACATTCATACATTATCATTTACAAGACATTTATTATCTTTCAATTGATAAACATTATCAAAGCTTGCCACTGCAGTGTTTATGAGTGTTACTGCAAGATTTCTCTTATGTGTGACACCGTAGTGATATAGGAGCAACTATCGGAACGACCTCTTTTCGTAAAAGTGATATCGCAAAACATTGAAATGTAGATTCCAACACATGAAAAAACACAGACATTGGATTACTATGTTACAATATTATCTTGTGAAAAAAGTCGGTCGTCTGGGTAAAATCAATCTTTTTCAAACTTCCGGATTAAATTCTTTAATAGATTTAAATCAAGAGTATTAAATACTCAAAAAATCAAACGTAACGATTAAAACGAAGCGAATACTGCCTGCACTTAATCCCTTTATATATCTTTAATTCGCTGACAATTAATTCTTTGAGAAATACACCAAAACTCCGTACCCTTAGAAAAAAGGGAAAGGGGTAATATTAACACTCTTTTTCAGCTTTAAAAAAAATCATTTTTTTAAAGTGGCAAATTAGTTATAAACTTAAGCCTCAGTCATCATCGGACAACATTAACAGATGTCCAACGTCAGAAAATACGGCGACAGAACGGAAATCCATTGGCATTACGTTCACGAGCTCGAGTCTTCCCCGCCGGTGTTCATGTTCTCACGATCAGTGTAGGTGTATGAAGCATATAAAATGGATAAAAACCATGCCTTAACCGTATAAGCAACAGTCAACTTAAATACTTCAATGTTTGAGTTACGTACGAGTACCGGGTAAAACGAATTGCAAAACGCAACAGAAAAATTTGGGGGGAAAAAAGTTTTCGAAGATTAGACCAACGTTCGTGCGTGCGGTTGGTGCCCAGAACACGTCCAGTTAATCCGTTCTACAGCCGGTAGATGTCCGGCTCTAACTCAATTCTAATGGACACCAACGAAAGCAGACCGGTTAAGTACAAATGAATCGCATGAGTTCCGTATAAAACGCATGCAAACGCATAAAGCTACCGTACTTATAGCGGACAAGTTAGTCCTGTGGTGTCCGTTCCAAGTTTGGAATCTGCTCAAAACTTTCCACCGGATTAGATAGAACCAACTTCACTGGATCTTTCCGGTCATTTAACGTAATCGCCGAAAGAGAAACGGACAAGAAACGTACGCGAACGGAGACGAGCGGATTAAAAGAGGCATAATGCCTTTTTCCAGTACTATTTCGTCAACTAGATAAACTTAGAAACGAACTTTTCTTCCTACTAAATGAACTTCTTAATACGAGCTCATCTCTGTTATTTCCTCAAACCCAGCCTGTGTATTATTAGGTACGACGTATCACTTATTTTACATTATTTTAATTATGTGTTTAGTACCGGTATTATAATGAAGTATATATATATATATATATATATAATTTTTTTCCCGTTTACTTTATAGCTAGATTTACTTTTTCTTTGATATTTGTAAATACGCTAATTGTGGCCTTTTCGTATACTAAGTGCGCTATACATCTTTTTGCCATCTATTTGACGTCTGTGAGCGTTATCCGGAAATATGTGACTGAGGCTTTCATGAACAGTATAAAAGACAGGTTTGTTTTATATGTATATTGTTCGAAATCAATCATATGAGAATTGGTTCACAAAAATAAAACGTTTTTGAACATTTAAAAAAGAAAAAAAAATGTAGTACTCTTATAAGCTTTGTGGTATGGTACATAGTTGTGTTTCAGGAAAAATGTATACGCGTACATTCAAACAATTTTCTGAATCATATTCTTAAATGAATTTGACGAAGAGTAAGTGCTGAAAGCATTCTAATAAGCACAGTTTTCAGATAATTATGTTTGAACATTGGCATAGAATTCAAACAATCACATATCAATTTGATGTACTTTTAGAAATACTCGAATAATTGCGACTTCAGTTGGACAAACCAATAATAGACAATTTGATGGTAAACAGCCTAAATACACATGACGAAGAACGGGTTTATTACAGTCTGCATTTTCTGTCTGCTTTAAAACATACAAAACTATGACTATCTCAAACATTTTAACACAGTAATCTGCAATTTTCCAACAATAACACTTAAAAACGTAAAGCGGCATCGTTTTCAAGAGTGTGCATGCAAGATTAGTCCTTTTTTCTATATTTATAATAATAACTACAATAGTTCTCTTCAAAAAGTTTTACCCCACCCTTACCCACTCCCTCCCCCTTATTTATATCACCTTTACTATAATTTGATTCGATTGTATTTTATTGTATTAATATTATACAAAAGGTCCAAGCACAAGTTCTTACTGTTTTTAAATGCATATTGATTAAAAATGTGAAGATAACGAACAATGATCGATCTAGAAATGTCTATAAACAATACAATTCTGTGAAAAAGGCATAAATCACGGACCCCTGGAAATTCCAGAGGTAGGATCAAGTGCGTAGGAGGAGTAAGCATCCCCTGCATGTTGACCAGTCACGCCCGCCGTGAGCCCTATGTATTGATCAGGTAGACGGAACATTCCATAGTCAAATTCAGTATAAAGCCAAAGGCCCAACAATTGATATGAAAAAAGTCGGCAAAATTAAGATCCAGTGATAGGTTATATTTGCTAACAAGGTCATTATAACTACAATAAAATTTACGAAATGCCGACTTTAAACGAGGTTGTTGAAATCCTTGTAGCATCAACGTATCTGTCAGTACCCTGCCTCGGTTTAAAAATTGATCGTACCTGGAGCATGCTCTTGAATATCGAATAAGTTGGGAGATGTAAACACCATATGCAGTGATAGCGGGATATTATTGCATAAGTAAGGAAAGTTGACGATGGTAAAGTTGAAGTCATCTCGTTTGTCATACAGTTTAGTTGTTAGTTGGCCCTTATTGTCTATAGTCAGTAAAACATCCAAATATGAAACAGAAGTTGCATACTCTGTGGGGTCTTTTATTTCAAGATCACTGGGATATTTCGAATAGATATACATGTGAAAGTAACTACTGTTAATTGATAATACATCGTCAGTATATCTCAATGTCGATTTGAAGGTTACAGCAAGGTTTTCTTCTTCTCATGTAGAAGTTTTTGAATAAATTCTGTTTCATAGGGATAAAAAAAAACGGGTCGGCTAATAAAAGAACATAATCATTGCCCATCGAAATTCCAACAGTTTGTTGGAAGACCTGGTCTCCGAAGACTACATAAATGTTGTCAATGAAAAACTCCAGCATCCTTTTAATATCAACTTCAGAGTACTTGTGTTTAGAATCAGAGTGGTTTTTAACAAAGTAATTTTGTTGATGACCAATCACAAGATAGGAAAATTTCCAAAGACACAATATTATACAATTATGGACTTCAGTGTAGGTCGATATGTGGTTCTAAGGACCCATGGCAAGTGATATTGACCGAAGACACAGCCAATGAAAATTACGAAAATAATCTTCTTATATAATATTCCATCTCTTAGACTGAGCCACGGGGTCTGACATGAATCTACGAGGGGTTGTCAAAACGTTCTGGTCTGACGCCATAAAAATTATACCACGAAGGCTGTGCTTACAAAATTTATAAGGTATATAAAACAAGTACAGTTAAAGAAGTTTTGAAATATATACGACAGAATATTAACCCACTAAATGATCATTTCATGTGTACGTACTTCTCTGTAATAATACATACATGTATCTGACATACATGTAGTTTGACTCCACACAATATTGATTAGATGTGATTAAAAGAGGGTATGAATTTTGTTCATTGATTATACAATCTTGTTCATGGCAAGATACTTTTCTCATTTACGTTTTAAAAAAAAATATTTTTGATACTTGCACAAAACCATTCCCATCTTTTCTGAAACAATATCTTTGAAGAAAAGAACAAGGCAATGGTTGTTAAACCGACTTACTAAACCTCTACTTCCTCCTGCCCCCTTCCTTTCCTTCTTTCTCTTATTTGATGTTGACAAGCTTAGATTCCTCTATGATCTTTTGTAACAAAAGTTACTTTTAAATTTAATCATTAACCAGTCTGCTTTATGTTTAATACTAGTACATTCCAATCATGGTATTTTCATGTGCTTTTTTTTTTATTCCTCAACTTACAGTAGACAGAAGCCTCACTTAAGTAGTATGCCCCAGACTGGAAACTGTCCAGCCATACATGCAACAAAACTTTCTTTTTCAAACTTCTTGAATCTATGTTTAAAAAACAAACCCTACACAACTGGTAGTTAGACCTTCACAGAGCAAGAATCTATGAAAATCTGTGTGTGAGACCTAATGCTGATTTTTTCCCCTTATTCATTCTTTGCAACTGATCTGCAGGCAATGAAACAATTATTATAGAACAGGTGCAATCACATCAATGAGAAACAGCACATTTAAAGATTTTTTTTTTTATTTTATTGTTTTGTGCAATAGTAAAACATGCAAATTTATGCTGACCATACCAAATTCTAACATCAAATATAAATGATAAATCTTGATGAAATGTTTTAAAATTACATGTAATAAATGTGTGTTTAATACATGTAACAAATGCACTTTAAATAAGTCAGTATCAAACTGAAAATATAAAATATATATTTCATTGCAACTTAGTAAAAACATCACAAAATAAAACTTTTTTTCTCACTCCAGCACTACTGTGTGTCATTGTACATTTAGTGAGTACTTTTCAAACTCTGGCATGGATTTTTACAGCACCACACAAAATTCCTGCCTTCCATTTTCTCCCCACTACAAGCACTATCACTCAATCAGGCAATTATCAATATGAGCATTAAGATCCACATTAGATATATCCTTAAATTCCTGCTTGCATATAGGACAAATTAAGAGTTTACTGCTAGTCTCTTTCTTCCTTTTAGTCACATTAGCAAACATGGTGGCTAGATTTGACTGTTTTTGCCTCTTGCTTACAGGCGATTCCACCCTATCACCGAGTGGTCTTTTTCTGGAAATCTTTGACAAGTCTGAATTTGACTTTGATGTTAAGCCACTCTCCACTGCTTTGGAATGATCATTATTAGGAGATATATCTTTTTTATTCACATTAATTGGTGTTTCTTCACAATCACTAGATTTCTTTTCCAAGTCATCTTTAGCACTAGTACTGCATGTATCATCATTACTTAGACTAGCTGGTTTGAAGAAGTTCTTGATGGTGACTGGAGGTCTAAGAGCCCTTGTTTTGCATTTCTGGTTGACAGGAGTCACTTTCTCAATGATGACCTGTTTTACTTGACCTTGATCGGGTTGTGTCAAGGACAAACTTGATCCAGCAGCACCATTCTGTCAAGAAATTCACTTTTACTCATATTTCACATGAGACTTTTCTGATTAATAATTCTATGTATTTTCTTCTATGTAAGTAAAATTGATACACCTAAGGTTTAGATTTATTATTTGCTATGCATGAAAATATTATTGGAGAAAGAAAACATGACATATGTGCTGTATTACAAACAGTAGAACACAGCGGTAAATTGTCCTTAAAATTGTATCATCGAGAATTTGAGACTCTATCTGCTGATTTTCTTTTTGATCTCTTGGTTGTAATGTTTCTATTATTCCTTCATTATTACTAAGAAATTGGCTGACCAGATTCCTATTGATCAGAAGACCTACTTAAAGCCTCTGCACTTGCTGGTTTTTACAATCAATCCCCGAAGTAAACAAGTGTGCACTCCATTTTTTTACTGCATCTCTCAATCATATGTCTACAGAGTGAAATGTCGGAAGGGATCTTTTTATTATCTTCACTTCAGTGTGGAGTTTAGATGTGTAAATACAGAAACTGCAGTACAGAACTCAGTTACCAAGTGGGCAAAGGCTAATTGCCTAAAAGAACTAAGACTTGTGGTGAACTCATTATTTGCTGCTTATCACGTAATCAATAAATTCCTCATTAAACTATCTTCAAGAAAGTTGTTAATAAGCAATTATATGGATTTCCTATACGATCATTAAGTAAGGCTTTGGGTTTTTGTCATATGAAGAAATAATCAAGGTTGAGATGGTGGTTATTTAAAATAAACAATAAATCCACATATGGCTGCATTCAATATCTGCACTTGTAAACAGTGGACTACGTCCTGGTGTCTTGAATTTCAAATATGGCCAAATATTGTCTTAACAATTTTTTTCTTCATGTGGGGCTTATTTACTTTTTTGTTTTGTATAAGTTCAAAAATTGGTCTGGTAATAATTCATTATATATGAGCTAGGATTAACAGACCAGAAAATTTGTTGTTCTTGCCCCATTGATTCAAAATATTTGACAAATTGATTTCATCAGTAGACAGAACAAAATGCTCAATACAAAGTACACTGTCCTGAAAATTTAATTTATAACTCTCCAGACAAAGAATGAACTCCCTAACCCATATGAAGGACAAATAATGGGTTTATGACCTTAACTCTATAGATAAAATAAACAATTTTCATCCAGAAGGCTAAATTAATTTTATCAATTTGAAAACATTTCACCCTGTATCTGCCTGAAAATAATACTTTTCATCAAAAATTAAATCTATTTTTTTCATTTTTTTTTTTTTTTATTTTGATGACAGCTTGGGCTGTGTCAATATATCGATTAATCAATACGTATCAATATTCAGGAATGTATTGTATCGAAAAAATAACTTCCAATATGTATCGGGCAGGCAGTTTTTCTTATAATTCTGTGAAAAAAGTTGGGAATTTCAGTTACCAAAGATTATTCTTAACTGTTTTGAATTAAAACTGGTTAATAATGAAATGAACATTAAGGAGATAGCACATCTTAAATAACTATTACAAAATACATAGACAACTATATTTTAACATGTTAGTTTACATGCAGTCATTAAAAGTTTGAATTTGAAGTACTGACTTTGTAAAGATAGTGAGACCTGAACTTCCAATTTGGTAATTTATCAAATTTATGCCTTAAATGATTTACAAAACTTTTTTGATAGACTTAATAAAGAATCCAATATATCGCATATCACTTTATGAAATATTGTATGGTATTGAAATATTTTGCTCAATACACAACCCTGAAGACAGCAACTTGAAATTTAGAAGATTATCTGAATCATGAAGCAATTTCTCAAAATATTTTCATTCACAAGATTAGTGCAAAAAATACATGTATACAAATAGAGATGTTTCTGTAGGTTTAAAACATATCTTGTGTAAGCTAGGGCTGGGTCAATACAACATTTTCTATATTGATATGTATCACGATATTTGAGCCATGATACGATTTGTATCACGATATGTTGAACAAGTTATAAAATGTTCTTTGTATTGAAATGAACAAAACATTTCTTCACAAATAAGAATAATTTATTCAAGGAAGTTGTACATCTGTTGTAAAACAAAATTATTTTACACAAGTGGTGTTTTTCATTATGTATTTCATATTTATATTTTGCATATTTATTTTATATATTTAACCCAAAATGTTAAGTAAACAAAGAAAACATATGTCAGAATTTTTTTTGCGATATTTCCATATTTCTTCATACATATCAAATGCGCATCATCCTCACAATGAATCAATATTATCGATATCTTGATATATTGTCCCAGCCTAAGTGTAAGCCCGGGGAAATAAAACTTTGTGTCATTATAATAAATGGGACTATAAAGGTATATATAACATATTCGTTAGAAACTGTATCATATAAATGTAACCCTGTTAACTGTCATCCAAACACATATATACAGTTTATCATGATCATGTTTATTAAGAATTAAAACAACTTCTTATGTGTCCTTACATAAATAACTAGCTACCTCAATTTGGAGATCATCATGACCTAATTTTGGGATGTAATACACTTGAACCTTCACGTGACCTTGAACCCTCACAGTAAAAAAGATTTAATCCAGACATGATACAAGAATGCATAGCCCTAAAATTCTTTAGTGAGGTCAGTGTGACCTACTTTTGTGTCATGACACACCGTAACATCAACTGACAAGGTCTGAACATTTTAGATAAGTGTCAGGTTTGATGAAAAAGCTTCAATGGATGGAAAATTAAAACCATTACCATTTAATATCCAATTTATAAAAATATACAGCACATGAAGTGATGATTACTAGGAGTGAAATTCACTGCGATATTTTTTCTCGGTTTGATACACGGTGCAAAATCTCTAATTTTTGGATCGGTTCATTTTTCAGTCAGGATCGTTATTCGGTCGGGTTTGGCATAAGGTAAAACACGTTACTTAGTATAAATAAGTATAGAAAATGTAAATTTTTTATGACTGATAGTTTGTAAAATAATTTTTGACAGTCAAAGAATTCTAATCAATTTCTTCTAGTCAATTTGCAAATAAAAATTCGTGAATTAAGTGACTAGATTCAGTAAAAGAAAGCACAAAACAAGGTTGAATTTGTTTCCTTCTATCAAATGTATCGTATCGAGACAAAATCATACAATACGTATCAAACCGTGAAGGAGGTGTATCGTTTCACCCCTAATGATTACACAAGAAATTTTCAAAGTTTAGCCTAAAAAAGTAGTAGAACTTACTGCCTGTAGCACAAGCTGTTCTGCCTCTGTCTTTTCCTTCATGATCTTTTCAACATGAGGTATCAACACTGCTGGATATCGAATGCCTACGACTCGTTCCCCATTGTTCAGTTTCACCCTCACAACCCTGATATTGGATTCAGACTTACTGTGAAAGAAAAAATTACGCTTAATATTTCATACTCCATGTAACTAAATTAGTATTGTGCAAGTGAAATATGTTTTCTGAACTAATATTTGTTGATTATACGCCAAGCAAGCATTTGAATCACAACAATAAAATTGAGTGTGAATTTTCCATAAAACTCTAAATTTGCAAGAATAGTCAGTTTACACCATACCTTAATCCTAATTTATGAGCATTGCTACTCAAAGTGCTCTCCAAGGTGGACATATGACTCAAGATATTTCCACAGAGTAAATGAATCGTGTAGCACCTGCTGCCCACTATCAAGACAAATAACAGTCTTATTCGGAAATTGCACTAATGTTTTTTATTCAAACAAAGTTTATGGTTGTAAAGTCTCTTTATAATAGCTGTTTTGAGCTTTTGGACATAGTTTAAAAAAAAATTTTATAGCTAGAAAATTATGGCTTCAAACTGCTTTTGAAAACTGTTTTCAAAGTTATGCATTTAATAAAAACAATTCTACCTACCAACCTTATTTGATAAGAATGTAATACTAAACTAACATATTATTTCTTAGGCCTCGCTTATAAAATATTATTTTTATCAGTATTATACATGTGCATAAACTCACAGATAGACATATTTCATGACACTCTTGTAAATTGCCCATCATCTATATCTGGGGTTAATTTTGAAAGACTAGATGAAATCCCACGCAAGCGCGGGGAATTGAATTTATACCACTACCGACAGAAAATATATTTTAGTTCTCTATTGACAGCCTACCGGCTTATAGCAGGAACAAATACTTTGTTCAGCATGCAGGAACAAATACTTTGTTCAAAATCCTGCATGAAGTAGATTTACCTATCCAATCCCCCCCCCCCCCCCAAACACCCCCCCTTTTTTGTTTTTTATTTATTTATTTATTTTATTTTTTTTTTAAACTTGAAAAATAGTAATTTCATTAATTGACGTTTATTGTGAAACCTGTTATACTGTGTTATGGTTATTGTACTTCAGATGCTTTTTTAATTTCATTTCCGTCAAGGATAAAAGCAACGAATATGAACATTTTACTAATAAATTGATGGGGGGGGGGGGGGGGGGTAAAAATTCACAGGTACTTGGTTTATAAATATGTATGTACCTTATTGACAGGTAAAAAAGTAAAGTACATTTTTACATACCAATAAGGTACAAACATATTTATAAACCAAGACCCAAGTACCTGAGTAAAAATTAGCTTTTATCGCCCTATGAATAGGCTGAGTATTTGATACAAAAGACTAATCTGCAATAATGTAGCCCTCTCCGATTTTTTTTTTTATTTGATCTGATATTTTCTGGCCTCTCTCTCTCTGCCCCTCCTCCCCCCCCCCCCTTCAAAAAAGGAGAGGGCTACATTATTGCAGCTATAAAAGATTGTATTTAGAAATTAACTGTGCATTGATTAAAGCGCAAAATTTTACATCTTTAATTGTATCTGAACAATACCTTATTCATTAATTTTCTCTTTTCATGTAAGCAAGTTTATTACGAAGTACAAATTGTACTTCGGGTTCGTTGTCACGATGCGCTCAGTAGGAATATATATAAATTTTACCGATAAATTTATTGGGAAAACCTACTACATACATGTAAATGTAATAGTCTTTCGATATATAATTATATTCACAACTTATAGTGTTATCAGTGATTTACCATTATTTCAATTATGACCATTTACACGAAAGCTTTTCTTATGGTCATGTAGCTATAATCGCCTCCTTTTTTTCTTAACATCGGGCTCGATGCTATATGATGTTCTAGAAGCTTCCGTCAATATAAAGATTGGTGAATGACGAAAATATTTTGCACATTTCCCTTTTTAATCGGTTATCAAAACTTATTTCTTTTATATCATTTAAATCGAGTTTTAATTGAATAATTCAGTGATGACGTTTTATGTAATAAATAAACGATTGCTTGTTGTCAGTTTCATTAAAAATTGCCAGTAACTTAGATCCGCCAACCGGAAATGCCACCGTACTCACGTTTTAGCTATTTCATGGCTGTTTATAGAAAATGAAAGTAGACTTTTAATTTAATGTACGATACTTACTATGCGAGTGAAATCTAAACATAGTTTACGGACATCAGCTTGTATCAAGTGTATTGTTAGAGGAGTAAGTAAGAACTCTAGTGCACCCGTTTCGGAGTTTATTTGCAAAATTTATTAATTTATAAGAATAGATGTTAAAATGAGTACAGGTATTATCCATACCAGATTCAGTGATGATTCTGTGAATTGGCCAAAATATCTAAAATAGTTTGGGGGTTGAGGGGCTGATGAAATATGGGCTTAAGCAATCCCAAAGTAAGTTTAAATGAGTGACTAAAATCGAAGTGTGACAGTTTGTTCAACAACTTTTACATCCTGACCTGGCTGAATGAACCACCGCACCATTGAAAGGAAGTCTGAATCATCCCTACGTTTGTGTTTACCTTACTTGGAGATAAAAGCAAATGTCTGGATGATGCAGACTAGATGAAACATGGACAAAACAATTTGAATTTTTTACCTGGACTAAAATGGAAATGGGTCGCTGCAAAAATAGAAAGTATACTGAAATATTGGAAAACACTCGTTAATATTGGATTCTTGGATTCAAATTAGCGGAATTCCACTAAATATCGGAACAGAATCATCACTGCAGATTTTTATTAATTCAATTATCAAATGTGTTATAAAATATACATGTATATTAATAAAGTGATTTTTTTTCAACAGATGAAAAATGTGCAGAATTTGTGAGGAAACAATGCCACTACAACAACCAGTCCTGTGTAGTGTGTAATCTTCCCCAGTCCTCCCCTTCATGTACCTCTGCAGGAGCGGCCATGTTTACACCCTCTACCATGCATGCAGTGGTCCTTGGAGTCATCATACTGTTCCTTCCATGCAGATTCTAAAAATAACCAATCAAAAATAAATTTTGGAAAAGACTTTTTCTCTCCTTCAACTAAATTTATGATTCAAGTCTTTTAACTACCAAGATCATCAAACTTTTGAATTTAACCAAAAATTCTTGCATAAAGAAAACCTTGCCAATTATTATGAAAAGAGTTTGAGGTACTTTTGAGATTGGAACCACATATTTTCATGGATTTGGAATTGGCATCAGTAGACCCCAGGGTTGACAGAACCATGTTTTTCTCTCTCTGTCGAAGAGAGGGACACTCATTTCTATGCAGCATACATGGCCAGGGAAAAAAGTGTTAATTTATTTTTTTTCCTTGATTACCCTCCGGAGGTAGAATCAATAACGTTCAGATAAAAGACTGATCACATGATGAAATCATGGCGGGCTTCAACCAGGTGGAAACATTGATGAGGGATTTTACCTCCTGATAAATCTTCCAAGGCCAATAGAGCTCGGAATCTTAGCAACAGGGGTGACAACAGGACAATGGGCAATAGTAATGATTTAGATCAATTTTTTTTCCCTATCGTAGCCAAAATAATTTTGTTTTTCTACAGCACATACATGTAACATGTAATTTGACTTAGACCTTGTGCAATGCAACGTTGTGTGCAATCAGTTTACAAATGATAATCATTACATTATCTAGTATTTCACATTTTGTCCAAAGCAAGTCATTAAGTACTAGGTATCTAGTCTGAACAATTTTACTCTATATAGATTTGACTGTTGTTTCACAGATTTTTTGCAAATTCAACACTTTTTCCTTATCATGGTGACACTTCTTGTCTCTTATCTTTATAGATACACAATTTGTTCAGCTCATTAATTGGCAGTATTACATGCAATTAAACTGGATGGATATAAATATAAAAAGAAAGCACAACTTATATGTTGAAAGTCATTCAAATTTTATGCATGATTGTATAGTACTGTATGTGTTCTATGGCATATTCTATCCCAGTTCAAATTGTATCTTAGCGTCATCTTCTCAAGCCTGTACTGTATTGATTACTAAACTCTGAGAAGTAATTAACACATAAATATTAAATTTAAATACATGAAATACACCAATTCTATCTTTACAATGTGTTTTTTTTAATATAACAATATTGAATTTAAATCATTTCACTTAAAAAAAAATGACTATATTTGCATCTAAGAATATTTTACAAGCAAAAAATAAATAAACAAATTAACAAATAAATAGAATAAATAATACAAATAAAAATTGAACAAGATAAATTATTCAGATCAAAAAAGAAAAACCAAATTCATTGCATTTCTGAATGCTGTGTGGGTGCATAAACATTTATCGAGAAACACTAACAGCATTCTTTTTAAATCCATATGCCAAATGAATATTCACACCGAGTAAAAGAATAGACTGCATTTTGTTGTCGTTAGTTATAATGATCTTTTACTTCATGCTTCTAATTTCACTATAATATCCCATGACATATGTCAATTCTTTCTGCCAAATTATAACTTCACATTCCAACAAGCTACATCAAAAGAATATTCATTAATTTCCCAATCAATACAATCTTCATTGCTCAGTGAGTACTCAATTAATTAATACATTTTTTTTTCTTGAAAGCACACACTGTTCTACTTTGGACTCTTTTGTAATTCAAAGAAAAATAAATGGACCTTAATATTAACTCAATTCTGATATGATCAAAAAAAAATTTTTTTTAAGTAATCTACATGTTATTAAGATCACTTGGATTACTTTGTACATTTAAATAATATCAATCTTAATTTTTTCCAAGTTTATTAATTAATTTATACACAGTACCTATATATTTAATGTATATGTGATCTGAATATTTCTTCTGATAAGAGACCTTGGGTTTTTTTTTTTTTGTTTTTTTTTTTTTTGGTATGGGAAGAGTATTAATTTTTACTTCAGCCTGCAGCTTTATTCTTGCAATCAATGCTTATGATGAAGCCATCTGATCAAAATGAATTGTATCTTTGTATCAATGTGCTTCGATGTACATTCTTGGTTAATTAAAAACAAAAGAAAGAATTATTGCTGGATAAAGAAACAAAGGCTGAATGCTGTATTAATTTTTTTTTAATTGTTTTAATATTATGTGTTACAGTAATGAATGAGAAAAACTCTAATGTGGACCTTCTGCTGTTGAAAGATGAGAACAACAATTGTTCAATAAATGCAAGATAACCACTATGTCACAACTGTAGAAATGCAAAAAAAAAAATATTTGAACAAGTCCAATAGTACATGTTACCTCCAAATTTTGAATGCTAATTTACACATCAACATAAGCACTTGTATATATACATATATTAGTATGTGATTTCCTGTTACACTTGTACATGCAAATTAGTTTTTGAAATATATTTTATGCACTCATAGCATCTAACCAATTTTTACTTTTGAAGTTTATTTAAAATCTATGTACTGTGTTAGTGTTTTTCATGTAAAATACTGTAAATATTTTGTACAAAAAAAATCTTTTTGAAATTCTGTAATTTTTTGTGTGCTTGTTGAACACATACTGCAATGTTGCTCTATCAAATTTTCTTTTAACTGATGACCTTTTATCATTTTAAAGTTTAAATAACTACCTTACTAACAAATCGCAATTTCAATGTTAGCAATTGCATCTTAAACTAACCTGTAATTCTCTTATAATGGCTTTCACTTAGTAATTTTGTAATAAAATCTCTTGAACAACATATGAATAACTGTTTCTAGACAAAGTTTACAAGCTAAGGTGGTTAGAAAGCATCTGATCCTGCTACAAAGAAGGTAGCTGATGAGTCAATAATGCCAAGTCCTATCACTTAATACATTACTGTATACAGGAAAATTTTTGCCCCCATTTAAATTTATTTTTGCCCCTTTCGCCCTACTCATAGGTTGGCGAATTTAAAACGGGACAATTCAAAGTACACAGTATAATTTCTTAAACAGAACTGTGACTGAGCGAATTTAAAATGGGGCAAAATTGATTGCAAGTCTGAAAGGGCAAAAATAACACGGGGCGAAAATAAACCTGTATACAGTATGTGGCTTACTTTTGATCAAACACAGAGGACCTCAAAATATTTAATATATTCCTAAAGTGTAAAAAAAAGATTTGTGTCCAAAAGACATGAATATTAAGGTCAATGTTGTAGAAGAGTGATAACTCAGAGGCAAAGGTCAGATAGCAGGTCACCTTCAAAGGCACCTAGGGGCTGTACCCCCCCCCCCTTTCCATTTTTTTCTTTTTTAAATCTGGGGTAGACACACCCTTTTCATGTTTTTGTATTCTAATATGCACTACATGATATCGATTATGTAACCCTTTTGTCTCCAGCAAATCTTTTATATGTATTAATTTGTTCGTCTGTTGTTTTAATAAGTGACGTGCGGCATGAAAGCTGTCTCCTCACTGGTTCCAAGGGTCTAGCTTGGAAGGAGCAAAATAATGGCAGGCCACAATTTTAGTGCCATAATCTGCCAAAGGTTTGTGGGGAGCAAAGTGGACCAGAAACCCATAATTTGCTTAAGGAGATGGGTATTCAATGAAAAAAATCTTTTTTTCAGAATAGGGCAATAATACAAGACCTGAGGGAAGGTTAAAGACACATAATCTTTGAAATGCTATTGCCAAGTTGAAGATAGATTTTTGTGGATGTTTTTGTAGAATCCATTCCTATATGCTACAAGATTTACGTGCAAAATTAGAAAGTGTGATCTCAAGATCAAAAGGAATGACACTGTCACACAATTTCGACTTGAATACATTGATCTTCTCAGATGTATCTTTATATTATATGTACGGCTGAGTATCAGCTGGGAATGTTGTATTGCAACATACTGCGATATTTTTAACTGTATTGCGATATGTATTGCAATATTTTCAATAACCTTTAAAATGCTCTTTTTTAAATTTTTTTAAAACCTCCATTTATAAGCAGAATGTATAGAACAATTATAAATATGCTGTAACAAAAATGTTCTTGTTTATTTCACCACAATTTTGCAATGAAAGGCAACCATAAAACAGCAACCTGTTTGGCTTGATTGAAAACGTTCTGACATACTAAAATTCATATTTTACTTCAGAAATCTAAAACCCAAGCATTTGCCGGTATATCAATACTAGTAAAACATATCGCAATATGATATTTTTTGTTAATGAATCACAATATACCGGAATATCGACATTATTACGCAGCCCTAATTATATGTGAATGGAGTAATCCTTTATGTTTGTAAATAAAATAATCTCAATTCTTCAAGAAAGGTCCAACTGATCGTACGATAAACATGAACCATGATCACAAAACTCTGGCCTGTTCAATGTTCTCAACGAAATGTACAATATTGTATGAAGCTTTATGATAGAATTCTTGTGTTCCAAACAAATGAGCTTTACACAGATTCAAAAGGTGCAAGTTCTACACAACAAAAAAGGGAAAACAAATGCCTGGCAAGGATTTCTGACCCCTTATACTAGGATGAGGAAACTTGAACAGAATCAAGATTACTGTCTAGTAAGTGTGCATTACTGTCATTCTAAAGTGTCTTATTTAACCATCACTTTTACTGGAAGTCTACTTCTTGCTTGAAGACTCTATATTAAAATCAATACATAATAAAGTTATAGTCTAACCTATATATTCATTGACTCTGTTCCAACCAGAAACCATGCTAGATGTAAGTACACTAGAAATATGTCCATAGTACAAGAATGTCACGCCCAAGGTACATTTGTATTGCAACATGAAAGAAATGTATCTGGTCTTTTTAATCTGAGGTAATAGTAAAATATTATGAAAGAATAATGTTTATTTTTTTTTCATATTGTCATTCTTTATAGCATAGTACGTGGAGTTGATTCATACCATCTATCACCTTACAGCTAAATGATGTCTCATTGATTCAAGTTCATTTTCTCATATTACATGTAAGCAAATGTATACATGATCACTTAAAGTATGTATGGTAAAAATGTTCTTAA